GGGGGGGGCAGGGAGTGAACCCACAACCCAGGTACCTGCCCTTGACTGGGAATTGAACCAGAGACCCTTCAGTGTGCAGGCCGACGCTCTAACCACTTAGCCACTCTGGCCAGGGCTGTTTCTATATATTTTTTAAAACTATGCATTTCATGAGTGTACCATGCATGACTTCAGTTAAAACTGGGATCAACTTGAGGTAAACAACTGGCTAAGTGTCTTTTGAAATATGGCAGGACACAAGTACCCATTAGCAAAGGCACCGTGGAAGGAAAATTGTAAAATGTAAAAGGCATTGCAGAGAAGTTACAGGTGATCACTACCTTTGTAATAGGTTCATTGATATATATTGTCAGTAAGGCTAGATGAATATCAACTGAATGAAAATGGGTGAGACAGGGTAGGTACATTTAGGGTTGGATAATTTGAATAATTTTGGTAGACTCTGGGCTATAAGGACAGTCCCTAGTTGTCTGATACGTGGCCCTGGGGTGATTTAGAGCAAAGAGGAATACTGGCTTGGAGTGTGAGAGTTTGGAGTGTGGACTCTGGATTAGTTGCTTTGTATGTCAAAGGGGAGTCCTCTAGGAATTAGCTAGTCGTGGGAGGGACAGTGTCCCCAGGATCAAGGTACCAAAGGTCCCAGAGTGTCAAGAATACGGAAAATAGAGCCAATGCACTTAGTTATACAAAAAGATACAGAGGGATTTCTATGAGGTATAACTGAAAGAAAAAAAGACAGAACTGCGTATAGGCCATTTTTGCAAAATAAAATATTTTCCCATCTATGTCTACATAGGTCCATATAGAATTATAATGTGAAAGAACACATACTTGGTTAATAGCTTGGGTTATGGCAGAAGGAGTAAGGGATGGGGAGTGAGGTGCTGATGTGGGAGGAGAGGGGTTCCCATGATAGTAATAGCATGTTGAACATCCCATTATGTATAATTAAGTGTGTCACAAAGAGAGGCTTGGAAGAATGCCACCAAAATGTTAGTAGTGGTTACCTCACGGTAGTATATTTCTACATGACCATTACATGTCTTTTGTAAGTTTCTATGTTGCTTGAATTTTTACAGTGCACATGTATACAGTTGTCCCTTGGTATCCACAGGGGATTGGTTCCAGGACCCCCCATAAATACGAAAATCTAAGGATACTTAAGACCCTTCCATAAAATGGCATAGTACACACATCCTCCCATATACTTTAAATCATCTCTAGATTACTTTTGCTATCTAATACAATGTAAGTGCTATGTAAATAATTGTTATAATGGCCCGGCCGGGCGTGGCTCAGCGGTTGAGCATCGACCTAGGATCCAGGCGATCGGGGTTCGATTCCTGGTCAGGGCACATGCCCAGGTTGCGGGCTCGATCAATGACTTTCTCATCATTGATGTTCCTATCTCTCTCTCTCCCTCTCCTTTCCTCTCTCTGAAATCAATAAAGATATATTTAAAAAAAAATAGTTGTTATAATGTATTATTTAGGGAATAATGACAATAAAAAGACCTCTGTATGTGTTCAGTACAGACACAACCATCATAGGCCTAACTAGATAGTACATGTTAGCAACAATGTAAAGTTTTTTTGGAATATTTTTTATTCACAGTTGGTTGAATCTGCCAATGTGAAACCCACAGATATGGAGAACAGACTGCATTTATATAACTAGAAAGAAGCAATACACTCTCTTGGGTTCCGACCTAGTTTGCAGGGACATGGCTAAATGCACTAGGAAGGTTGGAATCATCAGTAAATACAGGACCTGTTATGGTGCCTCCCTCAGGAAAATGGTGAAGAAAGTTGAAATCAGCCAGCACACCAAGTACACTTGCTCCTTCTATGGTAAAACTAAGATGAAGAGACGAGCTGTGGGGTCTGGCACTACGGTTCCTACGTGAAAATGGTAGCTGGTGGTGCCTGAACCCACAACCCCACTTCCACGGTCACAGTGAAGTCCACCATCAGAAGACTGAAGGAACTGAAAGACCAGTAGAAGCTCCACAATTTGAAACACTGCTAGTGTATAATAAATGGGTTAATTTAAGTTAAAAAAAAAAAAGAAGCAATACAGTTATTTGTAGTTTGGAGGAAGACTTCTTTTTTCTTAAAATTAAAAAAAAATTCCAATTTCAATAGCATTCTCAAAAGTCCTAAGCATCACAAAAGGGAGGCAGATGAGAATAAAATGGTAAGAGCTTAAGAAAATCAACGTAAAGTAAATGTATACAAAACATTTGTCCAGAAGGTGTGATATTAGGCCTAACACTTACACATTTAAAAACTCAACAACCATATACTTGGTACTCAAGCTCACAAAAACTTCTTTTACAAGTCTCCTGCTGATAAGAATCAGGAAGTATAAGATTAGATTCATGATAATAACTTATGGGTTGACACAAGAAGAGTAGACAGTAAAATAGAAATTTTATGACAACATTTCATGGTTAAGTCAGATTCCCTGTCAGGACATTTTTTGCCTTGATGAATGAAGTAGGATTTGGTCACATCTTAACAAGATTCAGAGAAAGGAAGTTCAAGTATGAGTACAAGCTGCCATCTGATGCATTAAAATAAAGTTGTGGATGTGGGGTAGAAGGGGTCAATGGGGGGGGGGAAAAGGGGACATCTGTAATACTTTCAACAATAAAGATAAATTAAAAAATAAAAAATAAAAATAAAATAAAGAAAACAAGGGATTTTCCCCAAGTTAAAAAATTCCTGTGACGTACTTTTTGGATTGTCGGAGGAAATGAATCCAAAAATAGTTAACATAAAGATAGACAAGTCAACTAAATGAAATCACTACAAAAACTGAATACACAAATAAGAAAGAATAAAACATTTTTTATGCTAACTTTTCAACTATTATTTTTAATATAATCATCCTCAGTAAAATTGTCCTTGAAAGTCAAAATGAACAGGCTGATGGTGTAGCCAGTTGGAGAAGGTCAGTGCTGTTCACCAGCATTACTCATCCTGAGACAGCACCTTATAGCTCACAGGCTGTTCAAAGTTCCACATGGGGCACCATGACTTGTCTGCTTGTACTACAGCAATAGGGGCTGCCCCTGGTAATAGCAACTGGGATCAAGAGGCATGTTTTGATTAAATATAATATAAAAGTCTGTTTTAGGATTTCATGCAAATATGAATCTCATTTTAAAATGTGGGGAGAAAAATCACCTAAATTCAGGGCTAATTTAACTGTTACTGAACAGTTTAAAAAGAAAAGTCTCATTTAAAATATTTCATCAAAAGAGACACAAAGGTACTTAAGCTTGACAATCATCCTTCCTCATCACTGCTGCTCCAGGCATCTTCAAATGCTGGATTTAACTGTGATCTGGTTGTAGTCTAAAAGGGGGGAAAAGAAGATTCGATTAATCTACCTCACGATTTTAGGTTCAAAATATAGTTATGAAATATATCAGATGAAAAAAATTAGATATTTTGTAAGAAACCATATAATTGTTAATTACAAAACAAAAGTAATATAAGAAATGCCACACACACAATATAATGTAATTTCATTTTAAATAGACTTTTAAAATTTATCCAAATTATCTGTTTCCCTCAAAGCAGTTACCTCACAACACATACATACATGTGAGCTCATGAGAGCGTGTGCGCACACAAACACACACATGCACACACCATGATGCTATTGCTTAATGCATTTCTGCAACTCTTTGGAATTACCTGGAGAAGGTAATAAATTACATCCATGTAGCTAAGACTGTACTCAGGTCTATAGTATGACTTGACAACTTTTTATTGGTTGGATGGACCTGACTTTTATAAATAAGTAAATATCCATGTATGAGGAATAAGGTATTCATCAAACTGAGTAATACCATTTTTGGTTCAAAAGTAATTTAGGTTATTAAGTCATGAGGTTTATTTATTTATTTTTAAATATGTCTTTATTGATTTCAGAGAGAGGAAGGGAGAGGGAGAGAGAGATAGAAACATCAGTGACGAGTCTGTGATTGGCTGCCTTCTGCATGCCCCCTGCTGGGGATTGAGCCCACAACCAACCCAAGCATGTGCCCTGACTGGGAATCAAACCGAGATCCCCTGGATCATAGATCGATGTGCAACCACTGAGCCATGCCGGCCGGGCTATTTATTTAAAGCAGTTCAGAAGCAATGCAAAATGTGTCAGAAATGGTAACATGTTTGTCATTAGCACACAGGTTTCCCTGGGAGATTTCTTGGAAAGATAACATACATTTGGATGATGTTTATTTAAAACAACAAAACATCACAGTATTCTTACAACTTTAGAGTTGTACCTAATAAAGACAATCAGCAACTAGAGGAATTTTCATTATGTGTGGTATTTTAAATGAATTCACTTTTCTGGGAAACATTTTAAATGGCCACCTTCGTACTCTGGCCCATGATGAAAGGGCTTTGAGGCAGTCTCGCCTGTTTGTGGGTCTAGGCATCATGAGCCAGGTTTGCTGCTCATTCTGCAGCTTTTATATTTACTACAAGACCCCAAATCCAATAACATTTTAGCACCAAGACTACTCTTAAGTTATCTTACAGATGTTGCCTTTTACAACATACAGCAATATTTTATGATAAGGGTAACCCCTACTGCATGTCTGAGAATGTTCATTTCCTTTTTGATGACCATGACAACTTATAATCTTATAATTCAAACAATGATAACGGTAGAAAAAGTAGGTATTCCAGTAAGTACCCTAAGTATTAGCCAGGAGAGCTGTAAAACAATGTATTAACTTAGGTATTCTTTATAGCTGTTAAAGCTACAGATCAGTCTATAACTAACCTAATGTTGGCTATTGTCACTATTACTAAATCTAATGTTGACTATCATCACTTTATTGTACAAACAAAATTCCAATATACCCCAAATATCCAGATACCAAACTACTACCAAATTTCAGCTAACTATACACTTATTTCTAGCAGCAGTCCCTGGGTTTGCAAGAGTACTGAAGTCTATTCATTTATTTCTTCATTCAAATGTTTACTGAACTTCCTATCTTTCTGGGTTTATAATTTAACTACTAAGTTATTTAGTGAGAGTTTATTCAAAGATGCATTGTCCTTAAGGGCTAGGTGACTCCTCTTCCCCATTCTATCTATGAAAGCCTTTACCTCTGCTTACATATCTACCAAAAATGTCCCTGGGTGGATAAACCATACAAAGCTCATGCCTCCAACCAAATTCCACTATGGAAGCCCACTATATAACCTATTAAACATTTAAATTTCATTTGGAGATTCAGCAGAGAAGTAAAACTATATTTTACTATAAGTTATTTTTGCTATGGTGAGCAAAGAAACAAAAATAATTAAGTGAAAATCAAAATGTAGTTGTATATAAATTTTACTGTTTATAGTAGCAAAGGATAACAATATATATTCATTACAGTATTATAAGAAGTATATTTTATTGTTAAAAATCACAAGTAAAACATCATACTTATCGTTAAAAGCTGCATTAAAAATATGTATGGATGTGATAAACATATTATTGAGACCCACTGATCAAGTGTAACTACCAACAGTTTTCTCTACAACATCTCCTCCTAGTGGACATCCTTTCCATGCTTGAACATTTCTACTTTACTAAGCTGCCTGTTCTACCGACAGGTAGTTGTGAATGTCATGGAGATAGGGAAGCACGAGTTTAGAGGGGATCTAGTCCAGGTTCAAAAAATGGGAAGAAAGGAAAAAACCAAACATCTACCACATATACATCTTGATAAATTCTAAATTTCTTAATGGTAATTACTGGTAAGTCTCCATAGGTAGAATATAGGGTTGTTTATGTCAGCAAGTGATTATACACCTACACAAATGATAAATAAAACAGCTCTGTATTTTGTGACTCAAAGTAAGATTCCTGGTGAGAGGTCAGATTTAAACTGTATGTAGCTGACCTATAGATCGCAGAAAGGAAAAACTGATCAAGAGTTATATAGGCTTGCCCTGACCAAGACTATTTTAGGAAGAGGGGGCAAAAGGAAGGCAGATTCCTCAGATATAATAAAACAGCCTGCCAATTAAATAACAGGATTTATGCTTCAACACCATAAAACCTGTTCCTATTACCTAATACCCATCAGTTTCTTATGGCAGAACTAAATTCCTCCTCTATCTTGGATTTCAGAAGAAACACCCATAAGTGATTATATCTTGTTGATGAATAAGTAAATCTCACCTAAGGGTGGACCTGAAAGGGACCTAAGAACAATTTTGCTATGATGATTCTAATATTTGGAGATATAAACTTGTCCAGGCCACTAATTAATGGAAAAACTGGGATTCAAACCCAGTTACCTACCAGCTTTATTATTACTTAGTTTACCTGAAACTAAAGACTAACTGTGTGTGTGTATGTGTGTTTTGTTCTGTTATGTCGCCTCTCTGGGAAACTGCAGGAGTCATTTATTTGATAGTTGAGATGAAAAACTTTTAAAAATGAGTTAAACAGTAAATATACATGTAACGAACAGGGTCTTGTGTAGAGGGACTTCTGTACTGGGATCTGCATCACAATCACATTCATGCTCTACCTACATTCACAGACATCTTTCAAACGAAAGTTTTGTGAAAATAATGAGAATGATTGCTATCTAAAGTAAAACAGTATATTTTAAAAGATAAGGTTTTATAGCTCCAAATCTAAAACAAAAACAAAGCTAACTTGTGTATCTCTATTTGCTTTTCTACTTGTTCAGGTTAATTTCTCCTATACAAAAACTCCTCTAGATGAGTTCAAACTATCACTAACTATGTAAAAAGGAAACAAACCATCAGAATCACATGCTACCTTTATATAGAAATTAGGAATTTTAATTTTCTTCTAATATCCCTTTTCCAAACATAGTCACAGATTTACTTTTATTTTCACTTGGTAAATAATTGTTATACTTCCTAACAGGACCTATACTAGTATAACTTGGATTTAATGTAGCGATTCCCAAACAGCAGGACACAGTAATTAAATAACAATGCAAAATAAATGGCTGAACCAAACTATTTGACCACATTAATCTTTCTACAGAATATTCAGTCATTTAAAGCTGCTGTGCACTAAAACTAATCAAAGCCATAATAAACCAAATTAGACATGTGAGGAAATCTGGAAGTATTTATACAGTGTTTGGCCGGCTGCTTGAAGATTTGTCATTATGTGTGTTTTTCTCTCTCTTTCATTTAGATTAAGGCCAAAAGAAAACAATTCACAGACTTTACACTGCAGTAACCATATCAGTTGCAAATTTAGGTATGAAATATATTTTGTCAATAGCTGCTAAATGCTATCAATTACTCCCATAAAAATTCATTTCCATGGAAACAAAGCTCTGTTTCCATAAAGGAACTAAATATATGAAAAATGTTTTTAGAATTCCAAACTTGCTCTCAATGACTTTCTTCCATCTCCATTTAAGATGTTTTACTTTAACTCTGACCTGGGTAAGATTAACTTAAGGTGTTTCTAACTACATCATTTATATTTCCAACTTTAAAAAATTACACATATAAATATTGGTTTTTTGCTGGGCTGGGCGTGGCTCAGTGGTTAAGCATCGACCTAGGATCCAGGCGATCAGGGTTTGATTCCCGGTCAGGGCACATGCCCGGGTTGCGGGCTGCAGCCGATCAATGACTCTCTCATCATTGATGTTTCTATCTCTCTCTCTCCCTCTCCTTTCCTTTCTCTGAAATCAATAAAGATATATTAAAAAATTAAAAAAAATAAATAAATAAAATAAAAATATTGGTTTTTAGACATTAGTCTTTTTATATTGCAGAAATTACAATAAATGGAGATGATTAATAGTGCTTGGTAAAACCACCTTTGGTACGAAAGATATCACCTCCAGATAGCCTGACATAAAAATTAAAAAAAATACAGTCTACTACTTAAGACCAGGGATTCATCTTTGTTTACTTGTCACATTTTTAAGGCTTTATATTCATGCTGTCATATTTATACCAATTTATGCTCTAAGACAGGAACTAGCAGACTGCTTGCTGGCAGCAACGTAAATTGGTAAAAATTTGACAGTGTGAATAAAGAGCCTTAGAAATGTCATCCATTCTATCCAAAGAAGTAATCAAAAATATAAACAACCTATGAACAGATATTTACTTGGATTTGTTAATAATGATCAAAAGAAATGTTTCCAAATTAGTAAATATTTAAGTAAATTATGGTATATAAATGACAGAATGCTATATTATTAAGAACAGTAGTTATTAACAACATGAAAGAAGTTTATTGTACAATATTAAGTGAGAAAAGTAGGATGCCAAGTTGTATCTCCAAGCATGGTATTAAGTGTGTTAAAAAACACACATATGCATAGAAAAAAAAGTAGTGAATTAAAATGTAAATAGTAATTAATTCAGCTTTAAGAATTTGTTCTTCTTTTAATGTTTTTCTGGATTTTCTAAACGTCTTATAACAGGCAAATTATTTTTAAAATCAGAAAATAGAAAGAAATGTTTTAAAAGTTTCTTCCACATAAAGTAAATTAATAAACTTTTCTTTACAATTTAGAAGTCACTGTCCAATCTATACAAATAATATTTACCTCAGCATCATCAGGAACTGGTTCATATAAGGATGGTACCCAAGCAAGAATATTGCAGTCTCTGCTACCACTATAAAGTTCCTATAACAAAGAAAGTGAAGATGTGATTGTGGGTTAATTAATTTGAAGTTGGCACCAAACTGAAACAAATTACATTAATTTTTAAATGATTAATTCTGAGGTTATATCAATTAGATTAATTCTAATTCTACTCCAAAGAAACTGGACTTGTGCCCTTTTAAAACTTGTTGATGTAGTAAAGCTTTGTTTTATATTTAAAAACAGTATCATGATACCTCAGAGCTTGCTAACATGAAAAATTTACAAAACACTCAACATCCTAGTGTGTTTTTTTTTTCATTCTTATCAGTCATAGTATTCATTTATTTCAAGTATCAAAGTAGAGAAAGAAAAAAAATGGAATAGTTTGTCCTTTGTCAAAAACTGAGTTTAAAAGTTAATGCCAAGGAGAGACTGAAGAACTGTTCTAGACAGAAGTAGAGACATGAAAACTAAGGGCAGCACGAGATTTTTTAAAAATATGTTTTTATTGATTTCAGACAGAGAGGAAGGGAGAGGGATAGAGAGACAGAAACACGAATGAGAGAGACATCGATCAGTTGCCTCCTGCACGTCCCCTACTGGGAATTAAGCCCGAAGCCCGGGTGTGAGCCCTGGTCTGGAAACCAACCAGTGACCTCTTGGTTCCTGGGCCAACCCTCAATCACTGAGGAACACGGGCTAGGCAGCGCGTGATTTTGAACTGGACCCTTTGACAATTTTGAAGACAGACACCAGTTATTTTGTAGCAAGTTACTTAATTTTTGTCTTACATTTCCTCATAACTAAATTCTGGTGATGTACCTTTGCCAGGAATATCACAGAAGTAATGTCCCACAATTAGGATATTAACTTGATCACTTGATTAAGGTACAGCATGCCAGGCTCTTTCAAGGTAAACTACTCATTTTACCTTTTTAATTAATATTTTGTAGTGTGGTACTTTGAGATATGTAAATATCCTATTCTTCATCAGACTTTCAATCTCTTATTTTTACTTATACCAGAATGGATTTGTGGTTCCTTATTTCAGCCAATGGGTCCATTATTATCATTATTTATTTTGATGTTGGGTATATCTTGTATTTTATACTATGATAATAATTACTCTAAATATCAGTTTTGTTTCAGATAGTGAGTTTTGCATAATATTTAATTTGGAAAAGATTTCTACTGCTAAATGGATGCAAAAGTGCTACCCTCTTTTACTTTTGAGATTTATAATTATTGTCCTTTTCCAGGAATTATAATAGATGGAATGGGATAAGAGTTGGAAGCTTTCTGATATAATTCAGGGATTCAAATTTGAGTACATAGCACATATAGAAATGGCATTTGTCAGGAGGCAATTGGCCCCAGGTTTCTGGCTGTCCCAGGCTTACCCCAACTATTCCAGGGATGGAGGGGAATCAATATCTTGGCACACTTTTAAACATTCTAGGCGCAACTGCTAGGAAGCTCTGATGCATTGGAAAGCAATAATTAATAGTCAGAGTATCTGGGTTAAAATCTTGCTGTGTCTCTAAGTGTCTCTAAACAATAAAAGAGGTGTAGTATTCTAAGAATTTCTTTGAATGAATAATCATTCTGTCAATAACTACTTGCAAATTTGAGACAAGTCATGGCAACTCTCTGGTGGCTTTAGTTTTCTTCTCCCAGAAATAACACTAAAAATATTTAACAATTAGTATACCAGCACACTGACCAATCAGAAGAGCTACTGGCCATAAAGTAGAAGCAGGGTCTTGAAGGTCCCTTTTAGTTGTTGGGTTGAGGTGAGGTCTAGGAGGCCCCAGGGGAGAGGGTGAAGCTGGAGGTCACTCAGGGGGCTTGGTGCAACAATTACTTAAAAAACTGTAGGATATGTATTTGAATATTTTAATAATGGATATTGCCATACTGATGCATGCTGGCTGAAAAATCAGCCCTATATATCTTACAGCAGAGTGTCAAGCACAAATTCAGTAATCAGTATTAATAAATGAATACAGAAAAGCTTCATCAAGTGGCACTTAAAGTCACTCTTAGCTTTAATATCCATACTTTCCATTCTATCAGTATTTACCTTTCATGAGCCTCATTTTCCTTTTCTGTAAAAGTCCTGCTATTAGAGACTCATTTAAAGGCGTACATGAAATAATTTGTGCACATATTCTCTAAAAAAACAATCTGCTCCATGGTGAGATGAAATAGAAAGATTAGGATGTTAAACCAATAGCTTTAGGTATGTATTTAAGAAATTACGTAAGTTGCATTAACTCAAATGCAAACTTATTAGCCATTGGCAGAAAACAAGGAAGAGATAAACAAAAGTTTACACAGACTTACACATATATAAATCAAGATACACAAAGTATTTTAAGATTATACACATAGATTCTATTTTTCCCAAAAGATTGTTTGCAAGAAATTATTTTAATGTGCCATAGGTTTTCAACAGCTAAATAAATGGAGCCCATATGCAAAAGAAAGAATTTACCTCACTTAAGTTGTTGTTGAGTATTATATATTGATTCATATATTCATCCTATACCATCTAAAAATCTATCCTGTATTATCCTTTATTAAATGAACCCTAACTCAAATGTGGATTAAAAGTATAATTCCTCAGAATGAAATTACAATTTATTCTTTTATATACAACTAGTCTGGCAAATTAGCTACCTGAATATTTTAAATTCCCTTCCATATCATTCTTACCTGGAAATTAGACTGAAATACACAGCAATCAACACTTTTATAATGTCCCTTAAGCATTATTATCTGTTCTCCTGAGTAAATTGTATAAACAGCAATGGTGCTACCATATGGTACAAAAACAAATTCTGAACTGCAGCCACAGGAGACGGTGAATTTCAATCCTTTCCTACTGTCATTATAAATTTTTCCGTAATTCACCTGTGGGAGGTAAAATCACAGTTACTTCTTAAATCGGAATTAGAAAGACAACAAAGACTAGAAGTATTTACTTAAAATATTAGAATATACTATAAAAGAGTTCTTATATATCTAAAGAAAATGACCAATGTCCTAATATAAATAATGGCCAATGACACAAATGTGCATTTCATAGAAGAGGGAAATACAAATAGTAAAAGAACCCCACAGAAGCAAATGTCCACATTTCAACCTTGATAGAAATAAAAATGGAAATTAAGGCATCCTTAAACAATAATTTTCAACTACTTAGCAAAGATTTTAAGAAACCAGAAAACACTCAATATGGGTACAAGTGAGGTAAACATGTTGGTGGCACTTAATTTGGTCATTCCTCCTATACGGCCAAATGGTTTATTATGCAACAAAATACAAAGATAGTTTTTGGTGAGGGATAATCTTTTAATTTTAATTACAGTAAAGTAGAGATAACATAAAATTTGCCATTGTAATCATATTTAAGTGTACATACAGTTCAGTGACATTAAGTTGTGCAACCATCACCACCATCGATCTCTACAACTCTTTTCATCTTGTAAAACTGAAACTCTGTACCCATTAAACAACAATGATATTCTCATCCCCTGACCTAGTAATTACTCCTGGGAATTTGTCTTAGGGAAATAAACAGCAAAAAGTTATATGTCCAGAGGAATTCAATGCAGCAATAACTCAAATAGCAAAATAACTGAGAATATTGATAAACTTCTAATAATGTTATATTAATTCTATAGTTTATATAGCAATTAAAAATGATAATTATGAAAATTACGCAGAAAATAGGGATGAAAGCTAAGAATAAAAACCATAGAACACAAATGGTGTGTATACTATAATTTCAGCTTCATATAAATAGTTATGCATTTGGTATAAAAATAAAAATTCTGCAACTGTATGCCAAAGGTACAAGCCCAACAATATCAGCATCACCTGAGCAGATAGAAATGCAGAATTCTAGGACCTATCCCAATCCTACTGACTTGGAATCTTCATTTTAACAAGGTGATCCCTAGGTGATCTGTAGGCTCATCAAAGTCTGAGAAGCTTTGGATTAAAGAACTGGACAGTCAAATTTACTTCCTGTTGATAATTTAGATAAGCAGCTTAGGGCAGGTGCCTAATAATTTGAGAACTATGAGCATGCAGATCACTAAAATTTCTCTTTACTATGGCTAATACTAGAGTTTGAAGTGATTTGCCTTTTTTCTAAAGGTTGGGTGGGATCATGTGTGTGTATGTACAAACACCAAGGCCCAAATGGGTATTTGCTAGTAATCAGGGGATACCACACTTGGCTTACCTACCCTTCAAGTTAACATGTGACAGAAATGAGCACATGCATTCAGCTATCCCACTGCCCAGTGGTAGAGTGAAACTTTAAAACATTAAACTTATAGTCAATAGATTTGGGTTTTTTAAACCCACCCTACTCCCCACCCTTTTTCTTTGCCTCTTAAGAGTAATGAATTATTTAACCTCTGAGTTTCATTTTTCTAATCTGTTCAAAGGAAATCACTTACCAGTTACTGTGAAAAATCAACTAAAATAACGCGCATGAGAGCACTGAGGTTATAAAGGTATTCAGTAAGTCCCTAGATTTATTAACCCCTAGATATACTTAAGAGTATCACATTCATTCTCATTTGCATCTTGTGATCCTACCTGTGCAACAGTTTGTTGAATGGCATGGAGGGGTAGTGGTGAAAAACTGCACATCTCCTCATCTAGCGATTCTCTATTCCTCCTGGAAAAATTATGAACTGCTAGACTGTGAGGGTCTTATTCATATTTATCAGAGTACCTAGCTAAAAAACCTATATTCCTTCCAAAATGTGAACTGGAAAGTGCTGAATGAGGTATGAATACTGAACCAGCCCACTAACTTTTATCTTTGTCCTTAGACATTCTCCCTTCAATCCATCTTGTTATTTACTGTCCTATCAATCTTTGTAAATCATTGCTGTGATTAAATCACCTATGGGCTCAAAACTATCAATATATTTTCAATGCCTATTGGAATAAAGTTATAATAACAGATTAATGAAAGGAGGAATTTACCAATTACTAAGTGCTTACTATGTGTCATATACTATGCTAGATGATTATCTAAGGCTCCCATTTTATATCTATAAATGCTTACCAAAAGCAGTATGATAAATGGCATGACCTATATTATTATGAAATTACTGTGGAGGAACAGGCTACTTTTGGCTATGTCTTAAAGGTGTTATGCACAGGCTTTGAAAATATTTTGATAGAACAGGAAAATCATATACTTGGGATATGATGATGGCAAATCCAATTCCCTATCTTATGAATCCCTTTTATTGTCCCAGCAAATATATACTCTAGTCACTAAGTAAACAGCTACCATGATGCAGAGATTCCATCACAAAGCATCTCATTTTACTGTCAAACAGCTTAATTAATAGTAATGACAGGTAACATTCACTGAAATGTCAACATTTGCTGTAAGTATAAGACAATGTGCTAAATGTTTTACATGCATTATTTCATGTAATACCCAAACCAATACTATGAGATAGGCAGCATTATCATACAAAAAGAAAACAGAATGGGTATTTCAATCAAGGTCTCTTGGCTAGTAAATGACAATAAGAGACTGAATCTAGACTACTAATAAAAAAGCACTGTGCCACATTGTTCTAAATTATTTTTCTTTCATTCCATAAGGTGATGATCACAGTACATTGTAACACAAGTAAGCACTAGGTACTCTGAAAGCATCTATGCTAGACTAGAGGAGTTAAAGAAAGGTTGTGCTTGAGGAGAATCTTGAAAGCTGAGAAGCAGCTAGGACAGGAAGGAGAGGAGTGGTACCTAAAGCAAAGGTAACAGTCTCTGCAGCAGAATGGAAGGCCAAGAGAGCATGGTATACTTAGAGTAACTCTTAAGTAGTTCCGTGGCTAAGGACAGGGTAAAGGTGGGAAAGTGGCAAGACATAAAGCTGGTAAGTTAGAGGATACAGCTTATAAAGGCCTTGTGCACAAGAGGCAAAGGCATTCAGTTTCAATAACCTGAGAGTATTGAGAAAACAATGAAAAACCTCCACTAGGAGATGTTTGGGAAAAGTTAGAAGGATGTTAGAGTAATTAAATAGAGAGATCATGAGTGAGGTTGGAAGGGAAAAGAGATATGAGGGGGGTAAAAATCAAGATAAGAGAATTAATAGGATTTGTAATTGATTTCATAGCTGCAACAAGGAATAAGAAAGAATAAAGGATAGACTCCCAGTTTCTAGACACTGGTGACCTGTGAAAGATAATGCCAGTAACTAAACAGTAAGAACCAGAATGGCTACTTTGAAATTTTTTCTTTTGTTATGCCAAAAGCTGCCTCTCTGTGAACTGTTCCTGCATGTTCTCACTCTGTACTCTAAGGCAAAGGTCTCTAAAGTGCAGTTCCCATACCTCAGGGAGTCTGCAAAATGATCCATTAAGGCGTGAGAAGAAAATATGAGAATTTCTATTTCTATTTCATTTTAATCTAAAAAATAAGAAATTAAGCTTTTATAAAATATATAGACTCACAATAGTATTTGTATATAATTCATGACTACAGATATATTGGAAGCATGTATTTATAAAAATTTTTTAAACCAATAAGGGACTACTAATAAGACAACACCATATAATAGTTATTATCTAGGCATATGCCTATTATTTAGCTGGTACAGCACTACTAGTTACACACTTCCATCCTACCCTTATAATTCCTGTTTTAGTATATAATAATACTGTCTTACATGATGGAGACACAAACTCTGACTGCTGTTCTTCATGAGGTAAATAAATCGCCTAATGTCCTCAGTTACTAAATGGCAGGAATGGAATTTCTTTCTTATTTTGTCTGACAGCCCTTTAAATATTTGAAGACAGTGTGTTACTCTGAAGACAGAGTTACTTTTACTGAGATCAATGTCCAAATTACTTTAAGTATCCTTTGTAGGTGAGTTTCTGGGATACTCTAGTCACCTTTGCATGAAGGACTTTTACTTTGATCAAGTCCATTTTAAAATTTATTATCCATCCTAAACACAGTATTCAAGATATGAACTTACTAGCAAAAATCCATAGATAGGGTAAGGATAGAAAAATGGAATAAAATCACATTGACAATTTATGTACATATTCAATACCATTTATATTTAGCACATTCACTTTTGATGCACATGCCAATTTTTCCAGAGTGACCCTGTCATCTCTCCACTCAAAAGCCGTTAGTGACTATCCATCTCACCCACAGGAAAAGCCTAAGCCCTAAAAGGCCCACAGGCTTATATGCTCTGGTGTCCTATTGTTTCTGTTCCTCCCCTCCTGTTATTCTCTCCCTTGCTTCCTGGATTCCAGCACAAGAGTATCTTAGAGGTTCCTTGGGTATTTCAAGCATGCTCTTACTTCAGGGTCTTTGTTCTTTCTTCCTTTCTTTGCCTGGAATACTTTCCTCCCAGATATCTGATGGTGCACTCCTTCATTTCCTTCAGGGCAAATGTCATCTTTAAAATTAGACTACCTGACACCTATGGAAAATCAGCAACTCCACTTTCCCAGTATTTTCTATGCTCTTTTCCTTACTTTTCTTCATAGCGCTTACTGTATCTAATGCATATTTTATCTACCCATCCATCTCTTCATTTACTGATTGATAGATAGATGTCTTTCTTCCTCTCCCTGGAATGTGGGCTCCATGAGGACAGGACTTTCCTATGTTTTGTCTACTGCTGAATAATACTGTAAATAGGAAGTGCTCAATAAATATTTATTAAACAAATAAATCAAATGAGAAAAGGAAGGTGTGGCCTACTTAGGAACAGGTACAATATAATGAATGGAAGATTCTAGACTAAAATTCGCAATGCCTAAGTTTCCAGCTTGAAACATAATGGAGAAGTATTTCATAAAGAATATGAAGAATTACAAAGTATAAACGATTTTGACCTT